ATATTTTAAAGATGAATTAAAATCTGAAATTTTATTAGAATTTATTACTTTACGTCCTAAACTATATGCATACAAAACAAATACAAAAGAAGTAAAAAAAGCTAAGGGTGTAAAAAAGTATGTAATTGATAAACACATGAAATTTAACGAATATTTAGACATATTAAATGCTTATACTAACAATTCCTCTAGTTCTAGTAAAAAATTATGTAAAACTATGAATTTTATACAATCAAAAAACCATATTGTTTATTCTAAATCTGTGGATAAAATTGTGAATCATTATCTGATGTAATATTATTTTCTGAGATATAAAACTCGTCGTTATCATTTATTCCTTTATAAACATCTTCATCAATTACCACGTCCAAGGCGATTTCACCAGTTGCTATACATTCCGATAAGGTTATTCGAGCGATTTCAGATGGCGATGGCTGTTAATTACTAATATTAACACCGTCCATTTATGACAATGCTATTGTTAGTATCATATTGAGTTTTCTTTCAAATTCTATCATATTAGTAGATTTTATTAAAAGTCCGACACATCTTGCATAAAAATCTTTAACTTCTTTTCGATCATTCAAACATTTCCATCTGCAAATCATGTGTATAATGTGAGCTACATCTATTCTTATAAAAGTTTTTGGTAATATTGTTACATGGTTACACAGATAACTGAAACAGCTATTTATGTAATCTCTTATTGTTTGTTGATTGCAGTATGCTCTGGATATAGCTCCTCATAGAGCCTTGGAGTAATCACACACAATCTCATTTGGAACTTGCATACCACAATCCATAAAACATCGGAGCCATGAATAAATACTAGTTATATTTTGTCTCTCTGATAACTGCTGGGAAATAGGAACAGTTTTTCCATTCATTTCTACTACTATTTGATAAAGAAAAATATGTGAAGACTATATTTTATTTTGGGTACGTATTATTGGTAACACCAATGAACCGGTTGCATCAATGTACTGTGTCGTCCATTTTGTTCTAATATACGTTTTGTATATATGCTCTTGAGTGGGTGTCCAATAATGAACGAAAAATGGGTCGAATCCGATATTTTGTATTGCACCCTGATGTTCGTTGGAATATTTCAAATTACCTATGCTAAATATAGGATTATTTTCATTTGATATCCCTAGTTCAAGATTTGTAGCTTGCTGCTTCACCTTGCGTAAAACTGAACTAGAATATAAGTTAGACGGTTTGACATCACCATAATCCATTGTTTTATCAGCTGCATTACGACGCCATTGTGATGGATTAATACTAATTAAATCTTTGCCTACTTCATTTCTTTTAAAGCCTTTTAAAAATCTTTTTTTTGTATGTGGGATATCTTTTGTATCAATAGTTAAGATACTTAAAATAACATCGGAATTTGATTTAGGTAACTCATCAATATTTCCAAACTTCATAGCAAGACATTCTGTACATTTACTTTTAAACGATATATAGTCATGTGTCACTTTATGGTAAGAAATCGTATAGCACCATGGTAATTTATGTTGGTCCCAGAGTGCATCAAAAAATACATCAGTCCAACCATTTTGTAGACGTCTAACAAGTTTTTTTCCTTTCTTAGTACGAAACTTTTTTTCTTTCGGTTCAATATTTTTAAATATTTCATAAGGAATTACGACTTTAAACGATTTTGTGTGTTTATCTTTTCGATTAATAGCATTTTTATACTTTAATAACTCTGTTTCACCATCTGATGTCGATGAAGAAATAAAAACATTATCATCTGATATCTGTTCAACTATATTAGGCACTTCGTTGAAACCTAATTTTCTAATTTTGTACGGATACTGGTTAGAATATTGTACCTATTTTCTTTGACCAATGTGTATAAGTATGCCGAAGTTATACATTTCTGACCATCTACTGCACTGCTATTTATATTATCTGTGACTGATTTCCAAATTTTAGAAGACCAAGCTGGTAATTCATCGGCATTATTTAGAAAAGAAGGATGATCTAAGATTTTAGTTATTATTACGTCAACTTGTTAAAATAGCAAATGATGATGTATCCGACACATTTATATTGTTAACACTGCCATTAATGTATCAAGTTATCATCCTAAAATTATCGTGATTGGTGAGGACATTGATTTATTAGTACTTCTAATTGTTTTAACTCCTATAGAAAATAATATTTATTTTCTAAAACCTAGGTCAGGAAAAGTAGAAAAAAATGTATAGTACTGAATTTATACAAAAACATGATAATCCCATTATAAATAAAATATTGTTTTATCATGCGCTAAGTGGATGTGATACAACGACAGCCTTATTTCAAAAAGGAAAACAAATGCCTACAAATACTAGATAAACAGAAGAATATAATCTCATTCATTTCAATTTTTAATAATCCTAATTCATCTCATGATTAAATAGCGAAAAATTGTGTTAAATATTTTTTTATATTTATATGGAGCATCATAAAATGAGAAATCTTTGAACAAACAACTTTATTAACGGCTTATAAAATATACTACAAAATAATGTTCTATTTGATATTTAAAAAAATCAAAATAGCCAATTTGTTTATATTATAGTACTCAAAACATTTCCAAAAAAATCAAAAAATTGAAATGTTAATCCGTTTATTTTCTACGAATTTTTAAAGTTAGCATAATTTCTTATTATTTAGAACGATTTTCTGGATAATCGATAATCGCTATAATAGATAATTGCCTTAACGCTGATAAACAAGAAATAAATTTGAATTTAAACAAACTTTAAAAATCATTAAAAAATGATTGATTCAACCTTAGTAAACGTTATTGACGCCAATATATTTTTAAATTTGTATTTACAAAATGGCTATTTTGATTTTTTTTTTAAATATCAAACAGAACATTTTTGAATTTTTGAATTTTCATAAAAAAAATGTGAAAAAAATCTAAATATTTTTTCAATGCATCGCAGATATCAATGAACAAATCAAAAAAAAAGTCAAAAATATTCAATGGAACAAATGTTATTGTAATTGTCAGATTTTGGTGAGGTTAGTATATAAAGGGTCTGTATATAAAGCTAGCCTTCGTAGATTTGGAAAAGGCTTTCGACAATGTTAGATGGGAAAAACTTTTTTATATTATGGATAAGATAGGTATTGACTTTAACACATTGGAGACGAATACCGCGTTTAACGCGGTACGTGTGTTTTATGTATAAGGACGAACATTTCCCGCCAATTATTTGTTGTGTAGACGAGGTCCGTTACCCCAGCACTGCCAAGTTTGAAACTGAATATCAAAATTATCCAGTATTATGTACTTTATTTTATACAATTTTGTACAACTCTCCTAACACTAGAAAACGCGATTTTCTCATGTCCGTGCTGCGATAACATAACGTTACCCGGTGTTACTGATATTAATATGATAATTGAAGTACATCAAAATTACGCTGGAGAAGTAATGTGGACATTGGATGAGATACCAAAAACATTTAATATAAGTGGCCATACATATTATATCAGTGCTATACGTACAGGACTAAGAGTGACAAGTGGTCACTATATGGCATATTATGCATTTAGAGGAAATCACTATTGGAAAATGTATGATGATTTAAAAGATCATACTATACAGAAAAAACACATTAAAAATAATGTCGAAGTTCTGATATAAAATTATAAACATTAACAAATAACATTAATTTGTATAGCAACCATTTTAAAAACTAAGGATAACAAGTTTTTAAAAATTTAATATTTTTATATTAGATTTATATTAGACTTAATGGTTTGAATATCTACAAATTGTATATCATTATTTATTTATTTTAGTTCCCAGTTCAAAATATTATAAGTTATAACGTCATATAATGTCATAAAAATATAATATACCCACACATATTTTGATGAGTATTATAACAATTTTCTAACATTAATTTTTAACACAATACTGGCCATTGCAATTTGTATCTTGTCCTGGGGATTTCTTTGTGGGTAGATTTTTAATTATATACTGGATTTCAGAGGGAGTGGTGTGTTTGGTTGGTAAACACATGGGAAGGGTATTGGATAATGCTGATTCAATGTGATTTACATGATCTAGAATGATGTCTTCAGAGTTACGCGAAAATCTGTTTTCGGAGCCAAATAAGTTAGCTTTGTCGAGGTCTGATATAGCTAGTGAATTATCTGGGTTGCACAATGGGGGTATTTTGTTTTTTTTTTTTTGTTATGTTTTTTGTTGCTTTCCAGAATGCGTTAGTTGAATTGTTAATAGAATTTAAATAGAGTTGGAAATTATCTGTATTGTATTTTCGGAGAGTATTTTTTAAAGAACATGCTAGATTGTAATAGGTTTTTTTGTCATTTTGAAGATGATATCTTTGCCATCTAGTGTGAGCTCGACGTTTTTCAGCTAAGAGTTGAGATATATGATTAGGAAGTTGTTTATTCGATTTTTGGGGGGTTGGATAACCTGGGGATGAGTCAAGAGCTGCATTTTTGATGACGATGGAGAGTGTTTGGACTGCATTGTCAATATCTAAGGTTGTTTTTAGAGGTATGGTAAGCTTAATGTTGTTTTCGATAATTCTTGAAAACAATTTCCAATTAGTTTGACCAGGCGTAAGAGTTAGGTGGGTTTTTCTGATTATTGAAAAAACGTTAGGATGACTTTGGAGTGATCTAAGGAGAGATCTAGGGAGTTAGTTATGTTGTGTTGGATATAATTTGGGAGTGTTGTTACGAAAAAATCAAGGATGTCCGGACATCTGTTATTGTGCGAAGGACAATATGTGGGGTTAGGAGGGGAAAGAACTTTTAGTTTTTTGTTTGGTATGGAGTTATGTAATATGCGGCCTCTGGTGTTAATTAATCTTGAACCCCAAAGGGAATTTTTGCAGTTAAAATCACCCCCAGCAAGAAAATTGTTTCCAAGAGAGTTAAAAAATTGAGTAAAAATATATGTATTTATTTTTTGATTAGGTGGACAATATATGGATGATATAGTAAGTGGAATATTGTTAAGCACTAATGTAATATTAGTGGCTTGTAGACTAGGAGTTTGGTAGAATGGCATAATCGAGTGTTTGATTATAGATTTAATTAATATTGCAGAACCGGCATGAGCGGTACCATCAGAGTGATCGCAGTGGTAGGTTTCGTAACCAGGAATTTTGAAGGATGAGTTAGTAGTTAGGTGAGATTCGGTTATAAGAAGTATATCTATAGACTATAGAGTTATATAGAATACAATTTTTAAGTTCATTTTTTTGGTGGATTAGTCCATTTGAGTTCCAGAGAAGTATTTTATAGGATGGTTAATATTGTTACGTCTATTTGGCATTGTTGGAAGTAATGAGCTTGTCTATGACAGTAGTTAAAAGATATATTAGGGGGGTGATCAGAGACTTTAGATCGTCGATAAAGGATGATAGTTTTAAGGAGAATTGGTCTGCATTAATCTCAAGGTTACAAAGTTAAAATATTAATTCAAAACTATAATATGTATTTGAATATCTCATACCGCCGTCGACGATAAACGATAATGATTATAATATTACATTTTTAATAGTAGTAATTGTACTGTGATAATATTGTAATTTCAATATTATTAATTATTAGGTATTTGTATTTTAAAGAAAATATAAACACTGTACTTACTGTATTGAGTGTTATACTCGTAATAATGGAAAGTAACTGAAAAATTTTGATTGGATAATAATTGGTCATGGGCAGTGCCGGGGTGACGTGACCGCAGCACGGACATGGGAAAAGCGCGTTTTCTTGTGTTAGGGAGTTGTACAAACTTTAATTTTGGTTGTACAAAATTGTACAAAATAAAGTACATAATACTGGATAATTTTGATATTCAGTTTCAAACTTGGCAGTGCTGGGGTAACGGACCTGTGAGGACGGGCTGTTTTCACATGTTTTCTGTGTTTTTTTAGTCTTTATTGAATAATCCGATTAACATCTTATTTTTTTCATCGAACTCTCTGAGTGTTGATAGGTCTAAAAATAAATATTATTATCTAAAACCCGATATCTGTAAAATACGGCTTATTACGACAGTTCCAATAGTCAAAACAAAAAGTTGACCGAGATAAATATTTTATTTTATCTTGTCATATTTTTTATAAATACGAGTATAATACTAGAGTTATAATACTAGCTATAATAATTTTTTTTGTAGTAGGAGCAAAGGACTAAAAAGATAGTGAAGACAAGAAAGAAAAAATAGTGAATTATTTCAAGTATTATTATTAATTAATATATAAATTTATAATACGAATAATAATAACAAAAAAAAAACAAATAAAACAAGCCAAAAACAATTAAAATATAGAATTTAACGCCCAGGACATCGTACGCAATCAATGGTCGATAGGGATTAGGGAAATAATGTAAACATCATTATTTATTATAATTTTTGGACTATAATATAATATAATCGAAAAAAATATCGATACAATTGTTAGTACTGCGATATTTTTAATAAGTTTATATTATAATTTAATATAAATTAAATATCGATATACTTAAACGATTTCTTGTAAAACACGGTATTCGTTTTTTAGACGCAATAAGCGTCCTCAACATTGCGATGTGTAAAAATAGCATCGTTTCCGATACTAAAAAACTATGACCGTGTTAGACACAGCACTCGTCCTCAACGTAACAATGAATTAAAAAATTGTCGTCTCCAATGTGTTTTAAAGACAGAAGATTAATACATACATTATAATATATAAATGAAAAAGCTGTGAAAAATGTGAATACGACACATACGAAGAGGCAAAAGTTCAAAATTATTATTCTTTAAGAAATTTTAAGAATATTCAAAAATTATCAATGAACATCAATATTAGCTTAATATACAATTGTTTTTTATTATTTATTTGTATACAACCATTTTTAACTAATTAGAGATACATATACACTTGCGTTTTTAAAATTAACAATTTGGTTTATTTTGTTAATTTTAAAAACTTAAAATCACGAAATTGGATTTAAATACGCAATTGTAAAAGTGCAAATCCAAATATTTGGACATTTTCATATATTATAAACAATATACATATTATTATACGTTGATCTTATCAGTATGAAAACAACTTGCCAGCATTGCAGATAAGCCTTTATGTTTAGTGAACGTCACAACAACTATTATGATAGGTTGTATAACATTGTGTGTTTTATTTTTATCAAAATAACACAAAAAAAAAATTGTACATTTTAAATAAAAACATTTTCGTGTACCATAATATTAAAATTATTAATAAATTAACATTTTTTTCTCACAATTTACCAAATATTCTAAAATATGCTAAATAAGCTAAATATTCCCTAACTCATGAAATATTCTCATATTATATGCAAAAAACAACTTTTTCCTACGAACTCAGAGAACAAATCGTCCACATTTCTTATTCTCAAAAGAGTATATTATAGGTTACGGGCAATGTGTACATTGCAGGGTCAATGTGGTCCTGCCCGGGCTATGTGAACCAGTGAACCACGATATTTTTTTATCACCAACTAACATTATTTTTATTTTTATTATTATTACCCATTTATAATAAAATAACAATAAGTAATTTTTGAAAAAAAAAAAAAAATGATTATTAATTTTATTATAAATTATAAATTTATTATTAGTTAATACCTATTTATATGCACACGATTTAGAAGCATGACACTTGGAATTACATAGTTTGTCTGCTCTTCTACATTTGCATTTATTTGTTTTGCAACCCTGTTTACAAGTACACAAAGCAATGAAGCAATTATTTTTTTTTTGTTATTCCACTAAATATTCGTAGTATTAATATGATATATAAATATAATTAATTATTGTTTTAATTCTGTCAATATTATTTAACAATTATTATTTTTATTATTATAATTGTTTTAAAATATTCGTTATATGATAAGATTTAATAAAATTAATAGTCATTTTTTTTTTTAAAATTCTTATTATAATTTTATTATAAATGGGAATAATAATAATAAAAATAAAAATAATGTTAGTTGGTGATTAAAAACATCGTGGTTCACATTGCCCGGTATTCCATATATACTCAGTAACAATATGTAAAATTATAAATCCAGTCTTTACAGTCGTAGCAAAGCAAATTGTACGCCCAGTATATCGCGTTTAGCTCTATTAATTTACAAATTTAAGTAGTCTGATCTCTTATAAAATGTAAAAGTAAGTATATAATCGACAGTAAATAATTGTATAGTAACTATTAACTAATAATATCAAATTAATAAACAAATGTAATTTTTACTTACCTTAGTTGTGTTTAAAATAATATGACAGTGAATATAATTCCTTTGATTTCGTCGAACAATAAAAATGTATACACAGTACCATTCAGTACTGGACGTGACAGTAAAATGACGAAACTTTCTCAGTCTAATTATAAATTTATGTTAATATTTAGTATAAACTATTGAGTGATAATTTTATTATTAGCTATGTACATATACACGTTTCCATGAATATCTATAGCATGGACTATACGACATACGTATATGGTATATACGCAAACACTATTATTGGACTGGTTTATTTTTATAATTTAAAAGATATAATTTAATTTAGTTCTATCAATACGTGGTGCTATTTATAAACTTTTATTTATTAACACGATTAGTCCCGATTATACCTACGATTGAGTGCTTTATAATTTTCAAAAAAAAGAGGGTAAGTGGATGTTGCTCTGCTGTACAGTAGATTACTATATAGAGCAGCGGTTCCCAATTTTTTTTTGCCACGGAACCCTAATCGATTATACATTTTTTTGCGGAACCCTAGTTTGAAAACATAAAATTATCACCTAGTAGTTTTATATTTTTATGTTTGATATGAAAAGAAAGAACAAATATAAATGAAAAACAATTATTTTATGTATTAAAAAACATTTACTGTACAAAGAAATACAATGTAACTAAGGCCCGTTCTTACAATGTCCGGTAAAGTGTCGGTTAGCGCTAACCGGAGGTTATACTGACATTTAACGGACAGTTGGTTCTTACATACGTCGGTTAAGCAAAAAGCCTCCGGTTACCGGATGTTTTACGGCCGGATTTTTAACCGGCCGAATTCGGCCGGTTATCCTCCGGTTATCAAAAATCTGTCGGTTTGTATTATCAATAATACTCTTTATCATCATTTGATTTTTGATTTTTGTTTAAAATTCGACGTTAGACTGTTGGAGTTTTCACGTAGTATAGTGTATACATTTTTGTTGTTTTTTGTTTGAATTAACAATTCATTATGAATAGAGTTCTTCATAACTACGGTTTAATTGACCAAGAAAGTGATTCTTCCGACTTTGAAAATGAAATGGTAGAATTTAACGTTGCAATTCGGAAAGAGAAAATTTTTAGAGAACGCAAAAATTACTTCGAGTTATTAGACGAAGTAGAGTTTCAGAAACGATTTCGTTTGAAGAAACAAACAGTAAAGATGATCCTGGAAGAATTAATTGATCATATAAAATATCCCACCAACAGGTAATTTGGCATACTATTATAATAAATTAAAGTAACAATTTGTAATAGTGTTAAAAACCAACTTTTCAGAAATAATGCCATTTCTCCAATGACGCAATTGTTATTAACATTGAGGTTTTTTGCAACGGGGAATTTTCTAATTACAGCCGGTGACTTTAGTGGTGTTAGCGTTGCAGCTGCTGGACAAATTGTAAAGCGAGTCAGTTATGCATTAGCTACAAAAAGTGATAAGTAAATAACTGTACCTATAATAATTAAATACCTAATACATTTTGTTGATTTACTGCATGTTACACGATGAATGTACAATATCGTTACTTAATATGAAATACAGTGAGATATATACTGAGGTACTGGGCTACAGAAAAATTCAAACTATACGATGGATGTAACTATTATTATTATTACTTTTTATTATGATAAAAAATTAAGTTACATCCATCGTGTACTTTGAATTTTTTATAAAAACGAAATTCAATGTTTTTGAAACAGTTTTTAGGTTTAACTATTTTTGAAAACCAAAAAGTCTGAACGAAGACGGTCAGACAGCAGCTATATACTACTAGTATATTTGATGATATTATTGTGATTAAAAGAATTTATATAATATAACCTATTTACGTCAGTGCCTTTCCCAGGTTTTGCGAGGCCCTGGGCATCATTAGAATTCAATGCCCTGGATTTACAATATTATATCGAAATTCATAGTTAGATTATAATAGTGGTTCTCAATTTTGTTATAGGTACTACCTAGTCAAGTACTCGAGTACCACCTGCCCATTACGAAAATGTCTTCGTACTTTACTTAATAAAAAAATGTGTACCTTATTTACATGTAAATGGTTGTTTAGGAATTATATACATTTTTATGAATACCAACGACATGTACGCCGTCTACATTTATAAAACCGTTAACCACCTAATATCAAATGACAAATACTATTTGATGTTTAAAATAATTACAATTTTTTTGCATACTACTTATGTGCTTTCCATGGTAAATTAATTATGTAAATTAATTATATCAAGTAACAATAATATAATAATAATATAATATGGCATGTTGCTATTTGCAAAAAAACATTGCAAAATCAATACATTCAATATAATATTATTAAATAGAACCTGCCTGTATCTTGGAAAATTGGAGAGGAGAAAAGAATTCAATAAGGTTTTCTTGATCTTTGATGATTTTTAAGAATTTTTTGATATTTATATTAATTATAATTTGTTATTGTAGATATATCCAAATGCCTAAAACAACTACAGAGATAATGGAGGTGAAAGTGAA